TTTTTTGCAACAAACTTAATTAACAAGGCTCTCAAAATGTTCAACTTTCAGCTAATCCAACAGTATGTTGCTGCTGTAAGGGAAAGTTCCACATTCACAAACTGTAACTTTCACTTTAAAGAACAGTTTTATGGTAACATCACATTTATATGATTACCCTGTACTACCTCTTTGGCTCATGAACAAACTATAATAAAACATTTCCATGGGCCTCATTAAGAGATAGGATCCAACTGACAGGACAGTCATGAAAAAGCTTTTTCGCAAATTCTGGGAATCTGATGAAAGTGAAAGAGGAAAGGACTGCCATCCTGCTGCTACGTTGCTCCCAACGTTTGTCTCATTATCACAAAGTCTTTGTAGTGTCAGTAAACACGTTGGGTTTAAAAAGTTAATCAAAGCCGTGACACAGAACTGTCTGTGGAGGGTTCAGGTTGAGGCTCTTATAATTCTGTCTATTAGATTTCTGGGATGAACTGTTCCCAATGCATCTAATCAGATAATGTTGTGCTCACCAGAAGTCATCAAGAAGTTACAAACTTGTAATGAATGAATGAGATCTGCTGCTCTTTTCACACCAGATGAAGACACACACAAGCCGGCACTCATCAATCCTTTAAGGGTCTTCTCCTGAGTGTATTCACACTTTTTTCCCCCAAAATTTGAGTTTATATTTCAAAACTGCAACTAGACACAAGCTTACAACAGGCTAGAGAAAGAAAGTTGCCCATTGCTATAAAAAGTAAGTTGCTTTTCCAGTTGGCCTCAGAGCTACAATGGCTGTTGCAGCTGAATTCTGACTTAAAATGACTTTATTACAGTAATAAACTGGATCAACGTTTTGACTTGATGTCTGTTTAAAGTACAGTTCATGCTTTAGGAGCAGCTCCCTTTAGTGCCAGCTTACCTCAAATAAAGTTAATTGTGTAGCAAAAGAGTCCACATCGTGATATTTTGTGCATGTGAAAAAAATCTGCTGACTTGCAAAGCTTAAATACACACCAGAGCGAGTTCCTGTCCTCCCTAAAACACCTCACTTTGAAGTTCGAGCACTTCCTCCGTTACTTATCTACATCACCATGTAACATATTTGCATAACGGCTTCCTAAATTGGAACCTCCTCAAACAAAGAATGAGCAGTTCGCCATTGTTTCCCCAATAACGACACTGGTGATACAACTGCTTTCTTCTGTCTTTCTATTAAAGCAACATTGTTTTGATCAGCTGACCAATCAGAGCAGACTGGGTCTTAAAGAGACAGGCGCTAAAACAGAGCGTTTCAGACAGGTGTTGAGAAGAGGTGCTGTAGTTATGAACAGTATGATGGGAAAAACAACATTTTCTGAACTTTAAAACATATAATCTTATGCTAGCAGACCCCAAAAACAAAATGATCAGTCTGTAAATGTGCATATGAGGCAAATATGGAAGACTTCACTATTCCAATGTTACAATGAAATGTCATAAAACAAAGATCCTGAACTTCAAAACACAAACAAAGAAGATATTTTTGTCAGAATGACTGCATGTGACTCCAGGCAGTGAGCAGACGACCAACACTACCAAAATATGACCACAGCTCCTGGACAACCACTCAAAGATAAACCACAGTGTTTTCAAGATGAGCTCCTGCATCATCCTAATGTTCATTCTGATGTTTAACAGGAGTTATAACCTATAGTCTGACTAAGCGAGAATAAACTTAGTCGAGAGAGAGATTTAATGCGTTTAAAGCCACAGGAATAAAAAGAAAACTTTCCACTTACCTGTATGAGCGACATGTTACTGAGGTCCAGTCTGAAAAGGTAGTTTCTGGATTGAAGAGAGAGGAAAATACATGTGTGAGCGACTGGCCTTCATCCAGAAAAATGTGTTTAGCAATGCAGATTAAGAGTTAGAGAAGAGCTGCTGTCAGCTTAACATGAAGCCCATTAAAGGCCGTGCTTTAACCGACCATTAGTCTGAAGTTATTGTTTTTACTTTCATGCAGGTCGGTGATTTTGCACACTCATGCAGCATTGGCTGTATTTGTATGCGTTGAACAGGGTCAAACCAGGCCAAAGTTTAACTTCTACAATCTTATGAGAATACACACACACAATCGCACACACTGTTGCGGCATGACGTATTTCTTCCAAATTCATCCCTCCTGCCAAATCCAAAGCTTAACTTGGTCCAGCAGGGCCTCGGCAGAGCACTTTAGAAGCGTCATTATCCAAAAACCGCGCTGTATGAGTGAGTCAGAAAGGGTATCACATTCTCAGTAATGTGCTCTGTGGGGTGAAAAGCTGAGTGGATTTACAGTTTCTTACCTGGCACCCACAATAAGCTCATTCCTAGTCAGGTCAAGGGTGAGCTGGGAGTAGTCTCTCACACCAGGGTGGGAGAAAGTGGAAATCCACGGGCTGAGAGCTGCATAAAAGAAAGAGAGAGAGAGGTGAGAAGAAGCTAAATCATGTCAGGAGATAAAAGCAGCAACAGTTAGAGAAGGGAGTCCGCTACTGCACACAACACCTTCATCGGTTGGTCTTTTTATGACTTGCTGATGGGTCAAATTCACAGTTTGAGTCATTTACTGAGCAAAAACGTGAGAGTTTTCTTTGTTTTCATTGTATATAGAATACCTTTGGGTTAGAATAAACAAGCAAATTGAAAATTTAACACTGGAAACATAATGTAATTGGATATTGTTTTATTGTTTCCAGACAAAACACTTAACTGATTATTCACAGGAATGACTAATGCTCAAATCGTCAACGACAAATATTGTTATTTTGCAGCTGCAGTGGTGAAAAGTGTAACGGTGAAGCATAAACCCTTCCTGCTCCGTGATGGCGTTTCCCACCGAGAGGGACAAAGCTGTCCAGGGCCACATCAGGCACAGAAGCCCTGATACAACCTGACATTCGGACAAACAAAGCTCTGCGTGGTGCACAAGGCTGAGACCTCGGCACTATTTGACACTGGCATTTACAAATCAAAATTTCAAAGCAGCGGAGCAGAGGGGTCACCCGGCGGGGCTTTTAATGTCACATTGAAAACTGCTGGAAAAGAGCATTTTCTCTTCAATCTCTGCGTGACCCAAAGTGCAGACCTTTAAACGGATTTCGCCGCATGGAAGTTTGTGCGGCATAAAGGGATTTGCCGTGTTTCCCGCGCTGTACACAGCATCACAGCGGTTAGCGCCGATTGAGATTCCTGTAAACCAATGTACAAAGTTGAGTGAAAGAAAACAGATTTGAGCTGTTTCAACAAAAACTCTGCAAAGGAGGAAAGACTAATGATTCTAACACCTTGCTCGACTGTGAAATAATGTTACACACCATTAATTTACTTATGATTCTATTGTAGTTTCCTATACTGTTATAGTCTTACACCAGAAATCTGAAAAAGGTTCTAATATAATTTCAAATCCAAACCAAAAATCGTACCCTGACGTTCACATGTGAAACATTCGGCCTCATCGCTAATAACTATTCATTAGGGAAGCAGTCATCAAACATTTAAAGCCTTAAACCTTCATTTTCTTGAAACATTAAAGTAGGTGGTAAAAGCTCGAGGCTACGGGTGCGAAATTACATCAAAGTGTTGCGGAAAAAAGTCAGAGCGAAGACTGAAACTAGTCTCCATCACGCCCAGCGATGGATTTTAGGATTGATGGGGCCCATATGGCTCCATCATCTGGAAGCATAACTGGAGATATAAGTGATAGAAAGACAGAAGGCTGCAGCTACAGTACAATATGGTGCTTCTTATTTAAGTTACAGATAAAAGTGCACACACAATTAGAGGAGAGACACGCAAAAACACACATATTGTTTTTAATTAAGGGTGTCAGTACTGACGGGGAACTTCAGTGAAATGAGAGTTTTCTGCCAGATGTGGTTTGAACAGGGAGGTTCTTGTAGTTGAGAGACTGAAAGAGTGAATCGTTTTGAATATGAAAGTAATTGAGTTAATAATAAGTGTTAATAGGACTGGATTACAGCTGCAATGAGACCTCTGTTAGTCTATATTTTTCAAACTGACAAACGAAAACCATGAAACAGAGCAAAGTAATGTGTTTCTCTCAACCCGACAGGCCCTGGGTCATATTCAGGCTAATTTTACTACTTAGATATTATAAGGTTTAGCCACACATGCTGCATCTTGTGTTTATCCTTTTTGTCTTCAACTCTCCTTCTCTACATTTTTATTTTTTTTATCAACTGACTGGTTTTGTACTTGTAAGAAACCAGGAGGCAATTTAGCTCATCTCTCTTTTCAAGCCCAGTCTCCAAACATGACATTTCTATAACAGGACTCTCAGTTATATTTTCACGGAAATGTGTCTTTTTTCTTGGTTTAAGTTTGTTCGTAACATCTTACAAATGCATTTCTAACTCACTTATCCTTGCCATTTGCTGTAATGCCTTCAAATTGTTGCTCCTTTTCAGCCAAGCAAGAATACATTACATGGTGTCACCCTGGTAACCCAGAAAATGAAGTGACTTCAAACACGGCCATGTCGTGACACCAATGCCTGACATTTTCCTGAACCTAAGCAAATAGATTTAGTGGCTAAAGCTGACAAAACACATGCTGCATCTTGGGTTTTTTTTCCCCCAGAAAGTTTAGGCGATCCAGATCTTTCATCATTTAACACGATAAGACTCGCAGATTTCTTGTATTGGCCTTTTTAACAAGAAACATTTCCATTTAACTCACTATAAACTCCTGGCAGGAGAGATCTATTGTCATCACTGTGCATAGGGGGATTGTCTGGAATTTATTAAACCCATGAAAAAAAATGTAGATCAATACAAACAGTGCCCAATGGCTACATTACTTAGGGCTCTATGGAGGATTATGCACAGTCTATGTGGTGACGTGTGTTCGTCTTTTGACTACAACTTTTGAATGATTTCAATGAAAAGCAAATATTTTTTGTCTATTTTTCATGCAACATTAGATGTAATGTCAGACCTATGCAAACAGGGAAACTAGGAGCATCATGGGAAGTTTACTTTAATATGCAGTATGTTATGAAATAAGTCTGTTTGACTTTTTCAACTGGGAAGCCGAAGTGTGAAAATGAGTCATTATTTTACATTTGAATCTGTCTCCATACCATTATTACTTCAGTATGTACAAATATGTAACAAGCTTAATTACAAAGCTCTGGTTCTGCTCTTTCTTCTGATGCGATAATAACATATAATTGCGCTGCGAAGACACCGACACATCTATGCAGCGACGAGTTCATGAGTCATTCAGACAAGAGTAATGGGTGCGCAGATGGAATTAAACTCGAAATGATTTTTTTTATTGCTGACACTTTGTCGCACAGACGAGCAAATAGCGGCGTCGGAAAGGTCAGCTGATATACACCTTGCAGCAGTAAATACTTGGAGAGCAATTCAACCGAGACGAAGGGATGTGAGTTTGGATGCAAAGTGTGTCTCTACTCTGTCTGTGGTGAAAAAAAAAATCCCAGTAGTTTCTGAAAACAATGGCACAGTGTAGTTTTAACCAAATGTTAAACAAATAAATCATTTTTATTAGACGACACACTGAACACCTGCTCAGTAATGTCTGGTGTTCTGGATGTCGATGACCCAACGCATTCTGCTTAAATAAAACTTGTTGCATGTTTTTGTACCAACAACAGCTCCATTAATATGTTGTAAAACTTACACTGAAAAGACCAACAAAAGAAAAAAAGGATCTTTGTGAGACCCAACTGGATTTAGTAGAGAAATCAGACAACTAGGTTAAACAATGTGACTGTAGCAGAAACATACATATTGTGTTAAACACCATGAACGCAGCAATGGATTTGAATTCACAGGAAATAATGGCAATTTTAATCATAATGCTAGCTATTTTTAACAAATCGTTCTCGCTTCATTGAACATATGTACTGTATGTGGTGTCTGACATCTCAGAAAAGTGCCAACATGTGCGCTGAGAATAACACAGTCATACATGGTTAATTATATTAACAGCTCCAGTCTCATTAAGAGCATATGAGAAACATGAGCAGTGTATTACTGTGAGGTATTAATTTATCAAGCAGCCAGAGCAGAGAAATAATGTAGTCTTTAAAAATTAACAACAGACTGAAAAACACTTTCACTGACACTGGATTAAATCTCAGATAATCACACAATAAATCACAGGCTGTTCTAATGCGATGCAAATTCTGCAAGAGGCCATCTCTTACTCTCACTATAAATATTTATACTACGTATATGCACATAAATTGTTTCCATTTTTCACATTCAAGCACGCATCAGTAGTTCGACCATCTTTGACATACAGGGGCGGGTGTAGAAACCATACAAGGCCGGTGCAAGGAGGCGAGCGGGACCATCTGTGCATCGCTCTCTGATTAATGGCTGCAGAGGCCGAAGCTGGAGGAGCAGAGGTCCATCTTTAGCCCCGTAATCTTAAGTAAACAGACCTTAAGTTGATTTAAAGACTCTGGGGTGATCCTGGGTTTGCATAAAGTCGCAGCATGTGTGAACAGAGCGAGGACGTGCGTGAATGGTGTCCAGTAAATGGCAGTAGGGAACACGAGCAGACCCAGAGAGAGCATTAACGTTCTACTAATCAGTTCCTCGACCACAATGTTTATAATGTCAGATGTTTCGATTAGAATATATGCGAAAAGATTGACGTGTTGCAAATGCAGCTCAAGTATGAATTACTAGACAGTCATGACTTAAGTTTTCCTGCTCTTAGTTTGTTAGTTCTTTCCTCTCCTGTGTCAACATAACTTTGCAAAAAAAAAAATCTGCCCCACATACACCATATTTTAACAGTCTGTGATTGGTCAGTTTGTGTCTTAAACTCTTCCCTCCTTCATTTTCGTTGTGTAATTTTTTGCAATCCTCTGCGTCCACTTGATGCAGTAATTGACTGAATTTATATCGGTGAGAAAGTGAGCAGGATTTTAACTGACCTCTATTTTCAAGCCTGTTTTCCAAAAAAACTACATTTCAATACAACTAATCTGCATTCCAAACTACACTTTGATGGAAACGTACCTTTTTTCTGGCTCATGTTTGTTTACAACGTATCACAAATACATCAAAAAAATCAAACCAATAATCAACATATCCTTCATATTTATTGTGATGCTTCCCAACTGTTGCTCCTTTTCAGCCAACCAAGCATATATCATACGGTGTCACCTTGGTAACCCAGAAAACGGATAAGAAGCTTCAAACGAGTCTTAAAAAGGTTGTATTTGAACACCTATGCATGTAATTTTTCCTTCAACTAATCAAGTAGATGTGTTGGCAAACCTGACCAAACAGCGTGTAAAAGTCTAAAAATAACAGTTTCACATGGGACACAAAATCCCAGTGTCAGGCGGTGAAACTCCTCCACCAAACTTGTTCACATCAGAAACAGATCCTAGGATG